CAAGAATTTTTGTACTTTTCGGAATATATGTATAGTTGAATATATTCACGAGTACATGTGGTTTCCAAATTTTTTTTTATCTATGGAAGAACGATTAAGAATCGAAATATATAAAATGTATCAGACAGCCTAACAGAGTTTACCTTTTCAGTCCGAAATCCCGGTAATGTCATTCCGCATTCGCATCATTTTGTGGACGAATTTACTATGTGCGAGGCGGCGGCATTGGAACTTGGATGCGTGGTGAACGATATAAGGCACGTTATAGTCTGCGGCCATAGCGATTGCAAGGCGATGAATCTGCTCTACGCTTTACGGGACAAGGAGTTAGCGTCTCAAGTACGTTTTCCTTGCGCGGTTGCGTTTTCTCGATTAAAAATTCATCCACAAATTCTTTTTTTTCTCGCGTCTCGTTTTCGCACATTTTCGTAAGCGCGCGATGATGCCATCCGAATTTTAGACGAACAGAAGAATGTCACCGCTGAAAGCGTGGCTGTATGCGCACGCCAGCAGCAGCTTAACGAAGTTTCAGCATCTCGAAATCACCGGTTTTCGTGAGCCGATTCTCTTCCAGGGCGAGATGTCATTACGAAAATTTGTCGCCTACATCGATCCGGAGGATAAATTCGCCATTGAAGATAAGCTGTCGCAAGTTAGTACACAGATCGAACAGGACGCTACGAGAATAACCGGTCATCTATCTCGTTACATTTGTGGAATTTGTTTTGTTGCAGATCAATACGTTGCAGCAACTCCAAAATATCTCGTCGTATGGATTCCTAAAGAAGCGTCTGGAAAGGCACGATTTGCACATCCACGCGCTATGGTTCGACATTTACACCGGGGATATTTATTACTTTAGCCGAGCCAACAAAAGATTCATAGAGATAAACGAAACAACGGAGCCGCTTTTGCTTAAAGAAATTAATAAATATTACTCCTAGAAATCCTTTTTCCAGATAATTGCGTATTTATAATCCAACATATGGAACGTCGTTCTCGACATTCTTTAATTTATTATATAATTATATATCTATTTTTATATACATATAATATATTTACAATTTATTTAATATAATATTCTAATTAATTATAAGTTAATCTAAATATACTACTATATGAATAAATCAAATAAATAAGAAAAAGTCAATATAAAATTGAGGTGGCTAAATCTGAGATGGTTAATAATATTTTTATATGTAAATTTTAAATACATTTTACAATTATATAAATTATGCTCCGCTTACTGTCAGACTTGAAGCGCATGGTAACATAACGTCGCCATGTGTTACATTATATTATATTATAGAGTAGGAAATTATAACAATGACGTTATATTATTTTCAGTTTGTGTCGACTGGGAGGGGGTTTTTTGATGAAATCTCGGTGATTTTCGGAAAGTTTCCTGTGAACCAAAATGATGAAGGAGCTCTCAGGGAACTCTCAAAAGCAATCATAGGAGTTCCCGGAGAGTTCTTTTTAAAACTTAAATAAAGCTACAAAAATTTTATGAGTTTCCGGAAAGCCTGTGTTGTGTTGGGATTATTTATTATCCCAGCAAACGAGAATAGATTGAAGTGGAATAAAATAGATTCCTTTTCCTGGAAAATCCTGAATGCATTTTTATTCATTTATAGAAATTGCATAAAACAAATGTCTATATTTTTTCAATCCTGAATGCATTTTTATTTATTTATAGGAATTGCATAGAGCATATTTCTATACCTTTCTATCTAAAAATAATATTAGCGTTTTCTGTGCATCGTGAATACTACTCAATTCAGAATTGTGAATAGGAAGTACAGTTTTTTTAATTCAGTTAAATTTAAAAATAATATCAGCAATTTCTGTGCAACGTGAACACTGCTCAATTCAATATTCTGAATATAAAATGCAGTTTTTCAATTTAATTGAATAAAAAAAGTTTTTATTTAAAAAAATGAACCATAAATGCTACTTAAATTATTCAAAATTGTAAGTAGGAAATTTTTCATTTTAATCCAACTAAGTTAAAAAAAAATTGTAACATAAAAATAATTATAATGAGCTACATTCTGTCGTTCCTCTTTGATTAGAAGTAAAATGAATGATCGAATGTGAACACTTGCAAAAAACCAAGTCGAAACCAGGCTCGAGGCTAATCATGGCGTGCGACATCGACCAAACGAGATTAAATTATCCGACACTTTCCAGCAAACGAAATTTTGTCCACCCAATGTTATCTCATAGTAATGTAAATTTTTTATACTTTATTATATCTATTAAATGATGATATTTTTATTATATCTATATAATTTATAGTTGGTTGTACTTGAAATAGAGAATGACACATTTATCAATTGAAGAAGTGGGTAACGTAGAAGATTCATAATCCAGAGATCCCAGGTTCGAGAATTCCCACTAAGGTTTTTTAATATCAATTTGAGGTAGTTAATTTTAGGTATAATTATTATAAACGTCTTAGAAAAATAAAATTTGTAACCCTCAAATATAAATGTTTTTTTTTTTTTTTTTTTCGAATATTAAACTAATGTCAGCTTGGATCCAATTCATTTCAATCCATTCAATCTATTTACATGAATTTAAAGTACGCATTAAAAAAATTTTAATCCATTTTAATCCATTCACGTTTGCTGGGATTATTTTAATTTTAACATTGATATCTTAGGCTGTAAATTATTACAAGAAATATTCTTGCTAAGATTCTTGAAGCTCTTCCATATAATTTTCATTCTTGCTAAGATTTACTTTTCACAATAAATTTTTTTTTTAAGTATCAGCATCTTTATCAAATGGATGATGAGTTTAATTGTGATATTATTTCAGCTTTAGTTTATAATTGCGTTTTAAGCGACGCACAGTTCATATAACTGAAAGATGTATTCAGAATTAACACATAAAAATATTATTAGGCATTGAGATCTAACTTCGATCGTATTAGCCCTTTCCTTATTTATTTGATATTGATCGATATTTAATGTGGCGAAATATAAAGATATTTGCATTATGGAAAGTAAACTTTATTATTTGTTTTTGGTCCCCTTCTTTCTGATTTTATAATTTTATAATGGAGTCAACAAATTATTTGGCCTCGATTGCCTCGAGAAAAGAATTAAAATCTCAAATCAACGATAAAAGAACCACTGATAAATAGACGGACCGCTCTGAACGAACTAGAGCATGCTAGTTCTGAAAGAGAAAGCAAAACAACGAAAGAAGTCGCAGAAATCAGAGTTACGGAGCGTTGTTAGGATCCTCTTCTTGACGAGTGCTGAATGCAAATTTATGTACAATTATTAAACTCATCATTATATTTAATATACATTTTTGGAAACGTTTTAAATAAATGCAGTATAAATTTCTAACATAATTTTTTAATGCAAGAACAAATCTGAGTTCACACCGGATTTTTTTATCACCTCAAAAGTTTATAAAACGTTTTAAGCTTATCTTAGATCTGTGTTTCTAATAGTACTGAGATACGAATTACAGTTAAGTTAACATTCGCAATTGATATTGCAAGTTTACATAAATATTTGCACAAGAGATTAGATTTTCTTTAATATCAGATCTTTTTAATATCATACAAAACATAAAATAATTAAAAAAGATCACATTACATAACATTCTGTATCATATTAAATGTGCTCTCTCTCTCTCTCTCTCTCTCTCTCTCTCTCTCTCTCTCTCTCTCTCTCTCTTTCCGTTCTTCCTCTTTTCTTTTTTGTTTTATAAAATTTATCGAATTGCAAAAGTTAGTTACAAAATTAGTAATCAAAGTGTAATATAAGCGCTATAAAAAATTGATTGTTATTCTTCCTGGTTACTATAAAACAAGCGGTGAAATAATCCAGTAATCTTAAAATGCGTGGATGCGAGATCGCGAGTCCGAGTTCTTGCGTCTCCCGGCTATGTAAGTACGTGAAAAACGGTGCGCATGGTTCGCACTTTTCCGTGTGCTACGCAGTAAAAGTGAAGAGAATTCCCTCAGTTTCCAAACGGAATCGTCTAGTTAGGCCGGTTATAAATAACGTTGCACCTAAAGTAAAGAAAAATACTTGAAAGAATAGAATCTCTTTTTTCAAACCGTTTGAAGTCATAGTTACTATTCTTAAGAATTGAGAAATAATGTCAAAAATCGCCATTCAACATCATTCGATATGAGTACTATTATTGAAGTTAAAAATTATAGCCAAATAAATCTAACGTATAACTAATTGCCTATTGTCACTAGAAATACAACCTCAGGTAGCCAATCTATTGGTTACCGAAGAATAGAATGATGTTATAATGTAGGATTGTCTGTCGAATTTTGTTGCAACTTTAATTTTAAAAATTATCCATAGAAAATCCAATGTTCGGCATGACTTTATTTTCAAGAATAAAGGAACAAAAGTTACGAAAGAGAAATTTTGCCATCTTCAGATGGCATTCATAAAAAGCAAATAACATTTACACTCTAAATATCTGTGTATATGGATAGTCATAAAATAATAATTCTTCGTATACATGCATGTATAAAATTATTTTACCTTATGTAACTGATCAAATGTTTTTTCTTAATAATTTGACAAAGATTTTTGATAAAACAAAAAAAAGTGAAAAAAAACGGACTTATTTTTATAATTTTATAATTTATATTACAAAACAAATTTTTATAATTCATATTATATTATTTAAAGAATAAAAAATAAAAAGAATTTATTAACAAAATTAAGCTTTTAATCGATCTTTTTGATAAGTTTCGAAGCACTTAATCAATTTCAAGACTTATCGCAATTTAAGGCTGCGATCAAAGTCTCACTATAAATGCTTTGAAGCGTTTGATTAACCAATTAGAAGAAAGAATTTTACGAATTAATCAGTCAAAAAACGCTTTAGAGCATTTGTAGCATCGCATTGACCGTACCTATAAATGTACGTAAGAAATCATAATAATTTTGGACATGTATTGAAAATCTATGTAAAAATTACACGAATTGAAACACGAATATATTAATTACATTTGTATATGGGTACTGAAATACACAGCGTACAGTTTACACGCAAATGTACTTAAATACGCGAAATATCTTGATATATAGTATATTAATAATCATATGAAATAAAATATGAATACGTTACACGTGTAGCCGTATATTTCAATACATGTGTAACCGTACATTGAAATACATGGATTCCTTTCAAACAGTGCGCTCGATATACGTGTATTCGTGTATTTCTATATCCGTGTACCCGTATATTAAAAATTATACGGATTAAAACACGGATATATTAATAAGTAAATAGTTACAGGTGTAACACGTGTATTCAGATACATGTCAAAAAGAGATCACTAATGTATCTCACATTGCATCAATATATTGGTCAGTATGTCGACTATTTTATAAATGTAATGCCTATATATACTTGAGAAGGCATTATATTTATAAATTGTAATCGATCGATCAATTTTACAAATCAATCGATTAATCAATCGATTAATTTTATTAATGTAATTGCTAGTAATGTATAATTACATTTACAAAATAACTTGACATACTGACCAATATGTTGCAACACGCACTACATAATATTATATATATATATATACGAACAAAAAATTAGATATCAGTTAGAAGTTCCGGATCATTTATGCGATGATTTTAATTTCCTAATTATAAGATACGTGTCATGTTTTGAAGCGTTCTTTGATAAATTAGTAAAATTCTTCCTTCTAATTGATCCATGAAATGCTCCAAAGTATTTCTCAGAAAATATTGATTTTATCCCACAAAATAAATTATTTATATTTGTCATGTGTGATCCACATTTCTTCATATACAATATAGACCTTCAACAAAGCTCCTAAGAAATTTCCGAAACGTCTCTAGGATAAAGTGTGCTGTACGAATTATGAACAAGCTTTTTTTTTTTTGTTTAGAACGATTTCAAAAGTTATTGTTGCATTGCTGATCGAGCTAATTTTCAGAGCTGGTCCTCCGCCTTAT